CCAATTAAGGCCTTAGTTTTATTTTGAAGAATTCAATGCCTTTTAAGACTTTTTAAGGACCCGCGGGAACCCTGTGAGTGGATCTGGGCACCTCTGGCATGTAATGCAAGCATTTATGAGCTTTTCAAGTCTTTCAAGATGTTCCTGTCTACCACCATGGACTCAATAAAACACAAAATGATTTCGCTAGCTGTAACATTTGGGACACTATTTTAAACTATTTCCTAGTTTAATACTGTACCAAGGTGAAGAATTGGTAAACCACCTTTTATGAGAGGTAAACAAATATATACCTATTTTGGAGCCATCATTATCCAAAGCATATAATTGATAGATTTTACTGAACCGGAAATTAGTAGCGGAATACGGTTGGTGGAGGAAGTAAACCGGAAATACAAGTGAAACTTGTCTATAGGGTGCAATTTGTTGATCGACCCTTAAATCTTTCAATAGCAGCATCTTCCACAGCGATTGTTTTTTTTTTGTTTTTTTTTAACACTTAGATAAATAACCAGAATTGCAGCCTCTACTGTAATTCATCCCACAATTGTTCATAAACGTTCAGGCCAGGACTAAGTTTCTCCACACCAAACTTAATATAAAGGAAAATCTGCATTGATGGATGTGGTGGTGTGACCCAATTCTTTCACCATTAAAAATGTATAAGGTTCCGTATAGAAACTGTTAAAACCTAACCTGAACTATCGCCAACATAAGCTACATGCAAGTTAACACTAACCTGTAACACTGGCCTGGTCCTGTACGTCCTGCTCTGCCAGATCGCTGGTTGGCATTTGCCTGACTGATGGGATAAACCTGGAGAGCATCCATACCAATGCGAGGATTGAAAACCTGTCAAATTAAAAAAGGATACAAGGGAGTAACTCATGCTGAATCATTGCAAACATAAGCAAAATCCTATTCAGGCTGACATTACCTTAAGTTTACAATACCCTGAATCCACAACAAACATGATCCCATCCACGGTGAGGGATGTCTCTGCGATGTTTGTGGCAACAATACATTTTCTAACACCATCTGGAGCCTTATCAAAGAACAAACAAGGTTAAGACAAGGGGAGAGGAGCAAGAAATATAAATCATCTGTTTAGTCTGACAAACCTTCTGGAAGATCTTAGCTTGGAGATCAGATGGAAGTTGTGAGTAAATGGGCAGCACAGCCAGAGGAGGAGCGTTCTCCAAGTCTTCCAAACGCTCTACAATCTGATCTGATGTTACCTGCAGAAAAAAATTAATCAATCAATCAAGGCAGTGTGAATATGACTACAAACAAATGTATGCCAGTTATTTCATCTTAAATTCTGGCTCTTTTAGGGATAAGATCATATAAAAAAAGGGCTTTGAAGAAGTAGAGTTATTTTCCCTCAAAACTGCTATTTAGTTAAAATTTTCCACTTGAAAAAACCACTCTTTTGATAATGTAGGGCTTACAAATAAAAATAAAATGTATCTGATGTATAACTGCCATGTAATTTACCTCAATATCTTCCTGTCCAGGCATAAAGATCAAAATGTCTCCCACCATCCCACTGAGGTGGATCTGGAGTGCCTGCTTCACTGCTGCCTCCACGTAATCCTCCTGTGGGGTCTACATAGCAACGCATCAGTCAAAACAAGTAAATAAAACATCAAAAATGTATAAAAAAAAAACTCAAACATTTAAACTTCTAGATCATACGCTAGAATGAACAGATGTTTGTTTTTTGTTTTTTCCCTTTTTAAGAGTTAAAATGAAGTTGAGGCATGCAGACCAAAACTAATTGCAGTACAAGTAGTTTCAACTCTTTTTCTAAAGAGAAGTACTAATGAGCAGTAACATTTGCTCCTGACCTTATTACAGAACAGTGTGAAAGCGTAGGATTTTAACAGACCTTGCTGAACAATATGTCTACTGGAAATGTCCTTCCTGGAATGTGGAAAATAGGCACATTGCCAAAAAAGGCTGCAAATTTGTCCGAGTCCATAGTGGCAGAGGTCACAATGAGCTTTAGGTCAGTCCGTCGAGCTACAACCTGATATAAAAGAGTAAACATGACTGCAGTTAGAGCTGAACATTTCAAAAGTTGGACCTTAAATTGTTTTCAGTAAGTAAGAGTAGCGGTACTGACCTCCCGTAGCAGCCCGAACAGAACATCTGTATTGAGGGAACGCTCATGAGCTTCGTCCATGATAACAGCACTGTAGTGGTCCAGGTCTGACTCCCTCAGAGACTCCCTGAGCAGAATACCATCAGTCATGTACTTTATCATGGTTTTCTCTGAAGTGCAGTCCTCAAAACGGATTGCGTATCCGACCTATAAGGAAAGAATATTCAATAAAAATTAAACAACGAATGACAATTACACAAGATGGCAGCACAATTATAAAAAAAAAAAAAAAAAACATCCTATTTTCACCTTATTAAAAATAAAATGAAAATAATGACATTTCCATATAATCCTATTATATTTCTTTATAATTATATAATAATGGGGCAGTGGCGGCCTAGAGGTTAGGGCATTATGCTTGGAATCCAAAGGTTCTTAATTCGAGCCCCACTGCCACAGACTGCCACTCGCCACTCTGGGTCCTTGGGCAAAGAACCTTAACCCCATTACTGCCCGGGCACCCCACAATGGCTTTTGGATTTACTGACAAACTGTGAAAAGTAGGGAGGTACGATACTGGAAATTCGTCCAATATTTAGCTTTAAAGCTATATCGGCTGATATCAGTAACATGCCCATAAAACCGTGCATCCATAGAGAATGGCAAAATACCATTTACATAAATGATTCAAGCTATTAAGAAATTGTTAACTTAAGATTTTTTAGCAACCATCTAAAGAAGATATGGAACAAGTTATTTTTATTGCAGCTCCTCAATAATTATAAACGCTGAAAACTTTGATATCCAGAACCCCTTAGCTCCTCTTTTTTCTTCTTTGTCAGTAAAAGAATTACAAGAACTTTATCTGACAGCCTGATAGACGTCCTACATTCAAGTCTGTCGATGTAAAAATTGGTTCCTGGATGTGTTTTTAGTTTCCCAGAAGCCAGCCTCCTGTTCCCACTACAAACCAAACCCACTGTGCATCCTGTGAGAAAGCAGCGTGAGAGAAAGATCAGGGTGATAATATAGTCCCAGTTTGTCTCACCTCCTCTCCGAGGTTGGTGCCAATCTCCTCGCTGACTCTTTTGGCCACACTCATGGCTGCCACTCTTCGGGGCTGAGTACAACCCACCATCCCGTAGCGAGTGTAACCATCCTCATGGAGGTACTGGGTCAGCTGGGTGGTCTTACCGCTCCCGGTTTCTCCTACAACAATGACTATGCTGTTGTCCCTGTAGGTTGTAATTCACATAATGAAAACGGGGACATCATGATCAAATAGTAAGAGTACGGCTCTGAATTAATTTTAAATCAAGTTTTTGAAATAATTAAAGGTGTAGTGGAGGATGGTCTTTTTCCGATTGGATCATCTAAATAAGTGGTCCGCCTAATTGTCAATCATTCTGGTGATATGTTTACGTAAGGCCGTCCTACATGCTCATCCCCATTTTCACTTTACAATGGTGAGTCTGACAAAGTGGAAAAATGCAAATCTTCTTTTGGAAAGTAATGTATGAACGATGCAAACAGCAAATTTAAACAGAGCGTGTACGAGGAGAAATGGGCTTGTATATAACTCACACACGTTTAATAGGCGTTCCCTATCGGGAGCGGTACAGGGTTGTGCATATGCATTTTTTATTTTAAGTGGAGAGGGCGGGTCTTTTCAAAAATTTGCAAAAATCCTCCACTATACCTTTAAGATTTAACATGGTTCAAGGAGGGAGATGAATATCTCTGCATCAATACCTTATGATGTTTAGAAGTTGCTGCCTAACAGCAAAGATGGGCAAGTACTGTCTCTGCTCCAGGATACTCTTCTTCTTAGCAAAGTCACTGCTGGCTTCACTCTTCTCCTTCATGTGCTCAGCAAATTTCTGATCAGCCCTACATGACGTGCAAATACAGTTTGAGAAAAAATGTAAACAAATTCACACAATTTTAAAATTGTGTATTTCCTAGAGTGTTAACCTGTAGTCCACTTTGCCATCTTCTCCCACCACTTTGCCGCCAGGTTCTTCCTCCTCTTTCTTCTTGATGCCCATTATGTCACCTAACTTGGTGCCTGCCAATTCCCAGTGTTTGTGCTGTGCCTACAAAAAAAATATAAAAATTTTATTTATTTTATATTAAATACAATGAAACAAATTATCTATTTTTCCTGACTACTTACTTATGTCTGAATAATCCCTGATGGGAGTTGACCTAAATTCAAATTGCAGCTCAATCAAAGTTTCAATTTAGTTATAAATCCAAATTAATAAAAAATAAAAATAAAAAATTACCATGTTTTTGTTTGTTTTTTCAAAAAATAGGATACATTTTGGAATTTATTCACAAATTAGTATAAATTCACAGTTAAAATTTTCCAGAGAGTAAATCTAAATAAAGAGCAATATTGATTATTTAATAACATTAATGTAGTATTCAGCCATAGAAAAAAGGCTTTCATTTTCACAAAAATTGTGATGGTACGCAGAACACGGAGCAAAAAATGTTAAGTAAAAACGATAAACTAACAAGCGAAGGGCCTCTGCAAATATTATCCCGTATTAGGGCTAAATATTAACAGGTAAATAAAGAAATCAATTAAGGGACAAAGATAAACTTCTTGCTGTTGCGTCTTTTAAGCTTGAAATTCACTTTGCAAGAATGACCCAATTTATCAACATAATAAAAAAAACTTTCTTTGTTAAAAAATAAAGATCCAGACAGAGTTCTAGTGATGAAATAAAACCTGTTTATGTACCAAGATAAATAGAACGATTTATTTTCTGTTTCCCTGAAAATAGCACTACTAACTGCATACTTCAAAACGGAGAGAAAGAAAAATATTACATTTCTACAGAATTTTCATGGTGCATGTGAACAGTGAAGTTATCTAATATTAAGATTTTTACATAATCCAGAAGAAGCCAAATGTTTTCTCTTGACATATCTAATAAAAAAAAAAAAATGTTTCCCCCCTCTGCTCTCTTCTTCATACTTCATGAGAAACTGACCTGCTGAACTTATACAAAGTCCAACACACTCTAGCTATCAGCAGAACAGCAAGAAACAACACAACAGCACAGCGGCAGAGAGGACCATGGAGGAGATCAAAATCTTTTATCACATTTGTTTTTTTATATGGTGAATGTATGAAAGTCCAGTTCATTAGGGCTGTCCTGATCAACTTTTTTATTTTTTTTCACTGATATCAATCTATTATCTGTATTAGTATGGATTATACCAGCCTCTATTACTTATTCTATACTGTAGAATATTAAAAAACTTTGCTCATGCAATATAACTAAAATAGGGAACAAAAAGTCAGCAACAAAATGTATGAAAATAATGGACTATGTAAAACTAAACAATGCCTTACAGAAACCTTTAAGAGAAGCAGAGTATCACACCTCTAGAGTCTTATCCTACCAGTAGACCCAGATTACCTTCTTGCGTTCCTTTTGCTCACGATGTTTGCGAACAAGTTGGCTTCCCTTTCGAGAGATAATGGCCATGTCAGAGGTGGGGTCCTTCACAGGAACAATGGGTTCTGGCTGCAAACATAGTTACATAAAGTGATAAGCATTACTGCACTGTAAATGTGAAAAACTGTTTTAAACTGGTCCACAAATGCAGTTTTTCTAAAAAAAATAAAAAATAAAAAAACAAGCATGAGAAAGATATAAAAAAATAAAAAATAACAGGGAAACAGAAAATCCTAAGAAATTAACTGAGGCATTCGCTACCTGCTTAGTGAAGACGATCCTTCCATCCAGGAAAGGAGGAACCAGATTGTGAACCAGCAGATGGACTTTAGCTGCATTGTCTTCCTCAAAGTCTTCATCCACCTCAAGCCTTTGCACCACACCACTGGTCAACATACGGTTGGTCTCCCAACGCTCATTATCCTAAAGAGGAATGCAAGGAAACGCAATTTAATAAAATAACTCGACACAAATTAGACAAATACACAAATCAAACCCTGCAAATTGTCCATGGCAAAACACAATCCCTTTCATGGACTCGCATTTTTTAGGATTATTCAAGATGTTTTTAAAACATTCTGAACAAATTAGCAAAAGCAAAAATCTTTGTTGATGTTTAATATCTCTAACACTCATTAAAAAAATTAAAACTTCGGCTGGTTTCATATAAGGCAAGACACCAATATATTGGCTGTGATTTGAAACAGTACAGATGTAGTCTGTTATTAGATGCTAAATCTGTTCTGGGTTTCTTTTTTGCAACGATTCCTTAACTCAAAGCTTGTGTTCATTTATTCTTTTAATCTGATTATGGAAAATCTAAATTTTGCTTGTCTTAAAAAGACCAAGTAAACAAGGACTTTCCTAAAATTCAACAGAAATAGACTCAAATGTCTGGGAAAGCAATCTTTGTAAGTTATTTTTTTTCTTTGTACTTAGAAAACGGTCATATTCATTTCTCTACTGTACTGTTCTCCACATCGGAGCCCTGTTAATTACACCAAGACATTAAACGTTGGCAAAGTTCCTGTAAAAAACATGGTTGTACCTCGTTGATTTGCCGCTTCTGTGCAGATATTCTTTTCTGAGTCTGCTTCTGAAGGATCTGCTCTCTCTTCTTCACATATTCGTCAGAGGTCGAGGTGAAAGGGTTGTGGAACTCATCGTAGCCTTCGTCCATCATGTACCAGTCTCTGTCGGCTTGCTTTAATTTGAAGACACAGTGAGGGATTCAACTCCAACATTAACAAACATGAACATGTTGTGTGACATAGAATGGAGTTAACTTTATTACTCTCACCTTTTGGTCCTCCTCCCACTGTTCTTTCTCTTCTTGATCATCAAACATCATTCCTCCCTCTTCTTTTTTGCCTGAGAGAAACAAAAAAAGCAAACATTTTTTAACAAACTGTATTTAAAAGTGAAAATACAAAACATTTTGAATTTTTTGAATGATACCTTTTCCTTGTGACAAACGTGGAGTGGAGCCTAAATGCTTTCTATCATTGGCCCACTCATTGTATTTGTAGGAGGGGGTGGGCAGGGGTGTGTTGTCAGTGTAACGCCCTCTGACAGATCTAAAAGTGAAGACACATAACATCATATCCCCACACATCAATTCTATATTAACGGGCAGAAAATGTTCAATCTAGAACTACTAGTAAATTAAGAGAAGATTAAAAATGAGGTAAAATAACAGCAGAACCTTAGAGTCATAATCTATAGAAACTCAAATGACAGCCATGGAAATAGGAGTAGAAAAATAGTAAATGCTTAGAGTTGGGTGGTTAGAAATGCCCAATTAAATGATTGCCAGTTACCTATCCCTCCTCTCACTCTCTCTCCCTGTCCGATAGCTTCTTTCAGACCGATCTGAATCTCTTTGAGACGGGGCAGGGGATGGAGACTCCCACTGGGAGTGCCTTGAACTCCCATAGCCGCTGTCGTCTTCATCCCAGTTTGATCGGGAAGGTGTAAAGGCGTCTATTAAAAGACAGAGTAAAACATGTGAACAGGGACATCTACAATGACACTTCGACATGGAAAGGAAAAAGGAGAACCAACCAACCTCGGGGACGTTGCTGGGGTGTTGCAGGTTCATCTCTCTTAGTCCCTCTGCTGATGCGTTCAGACCAGCCATCTCGCTGGGAGCGCTCGCTCCTCTCACTGCGTTCCCCGCGCTCCGACCGGCTGCTGCTGTTGCCCCGACTGTGTCTGCTGTCTCGATCATCTGACAAAGAAAAATCATCCAAATAAATTAAACTTTTGGGATAAGTTGATCCAAATATACAACCAACAAGTCAACAGTACACAAATGTTTTGTATCTGTGCTATAAATATCTGAGACTTACCTGGTCATTATAATAAAAGAAAATAACTGTGTACATTTGTTTTAGTGGTTATCTTAAATAAATCACACAATTAAATGTATAGAGGACAGTCTTTAATTTCCAGGTGATCTAAATAAGTGGTCCTCCTAATTGTCAATCATTCTGGTGATACGTTCACGTAAGGCTGTCCTATGTGCTCGCCTCGTTAGATATCTTTTTCTAAGCATGCGCACTTTATCACACATTTATCTCTGGTGAGCTTCAGTCATTGAAGCTCATCTTTCTCACCCGGGTTTGTTGAAAATGGCCGAGTTTCATAAAAGAAAAAGTCTCTACGAATGTATGATAAGAAAAGAAAGGCCTCAGAAGAGACAGATATATCCCAGAATGCTTTTTGTGGAGAGCTCTGAATTTAAATTGTAAGCATTGTGGCATTTTCTTTAAAACAGAGAGTGCACCAGGTGAAATGGTGTCGTGCAAGCTCTTGCATGCGTTTAATAGGCATTCCCTATCTGGTACAGGGTTCTGCACGTGCTTCCCCCCCCCCTAGCCAAGCCAGACTCCACACTTTAATTTAATTAAAAATCTATGGATAGACTGATTTGTATTACTGAGATGTATTGCGAAGACCAATGGCCTAAACAGTTAAAAAGTTCTAGATTCCAGATATCTCCATGTTTCTCTGGTATTCCCGTGAACTTTTGTCCTTGCAATGATTTTTTTCCTCTAGGTCATTTGGTTCATAAATTTGGCATTAATTTCCACTACATGCTCACAATACCAAGTTCTACTTAACCCCAACCCACCTCTTTCTCACCCCTCAATTGCCCTTTTGACAGTGATATCTTCCTGCTTACCCTCAGGTTAAGAATCTGAGTGTCATCTTTGATGCCCGTCTATATTTTAAAACCACATTAACAACATAACTTGGTACAACCGCATCCCTTTAAAATAAAAATTATTATAAGATAAGTGTTTTTATCTTGTAGTATCATATTCAAAAGGACTTTAGGCTGTAATCGCTACCAAAGATTGATCAGGAAAGTATTAACAAAGGCTATAAAGAATTTAACGAATGTAATTTCTTGCAACAACCACAAAAATGTTTTTTTTGGACATCCACATAATGGATATGATTTTTATAAGCATATAATAAAACCAAATAGGAAAAATTTATCAGGTTTTTACCAAAAAATGTTTGAATTGTTTACTGATGTTCCAAACTGGACTATAATGAAATGGCTGTAGCCTTCAAGGGGATCATTAGAATCACCTCTCTCACTCCGTTGCTCCCTTCCTTTATCTCTGCTCCTTTCTCTCTCTTTGTTCTTGTCCTCCTTAGAGGAGGCGTAAACTCCATGTTCACGCCGGTCTTTCTCTCGCTGCTCATGTCGGCGTTTGAACTCTTCGCTGACACCTCCTGGGTTGGAGGGAGTCTCAGAGCCTGTGACGCGGTACTTCCTACTGGCAAGAAACAAACAATCGTGAAAGGTTTATTTGGATGATTTTGGTTGTATGTGTGTCTATTATATTTATATATATATATATATATATATATATATATATATATATCTATATATATGTTTCCACTAGCAGCTTTTTGCTAAAATAGAACTAGTAAATTCTCAAAAAAGGCCATTTTATTCTTAGTTGCATGCAGGTTCAGTGATACTGCATATTTGCAAGTTTAAAAAATTTAACTCAAATATATTCTGCTATGACCTACCTCTCCTTTTTAGTGGCTGTACTTGTATCATCGTCCTCCTCATCAGATCCAGAGTCACTTTTATTTTCTTCCCAGTCTTTGTAGGAGGAAACTTTTGACCTCTTTCTATTTTTTTCATCCCCATTAGACTCTTCTTGTTCTCTAATCTCACGCTCCTTTCTTTTCTGAGCAGCCAGCAGGTCCAAGCCCAGCAGAGAGGTGCGTGGTGTAGGTGCCCGGAAAACATGAGGCTCTGAAGCAGCACTCTTTTTCTTTACTATCAGACCTCCAACTTGAGCCTGAGGTTCTGTCCCTTCAAGCCTATGCATGGATACGTCATCGTCATCCATGATCTATGGAAGAAAACATTAAAAGACAGATCAGGTAAAAATCTGGATCTCTATCGAAATTCTACTCATAAAAACAAAAGAACACATAGTTAATTGCCTCAAATGTATCTTGTAAAATATGTTGGTAATACATCGATATCTGGCATCCATCCAGATGAAAATTTCTTGTTACACTGAACTCAAGTAATGATAGAATTATTTTTATGAAGTCACATGTAAAAACAAAATAGATATAACATGATCTTACTGACAGACAGACATTTCAAATTATGGTTCTTATTATTTTCACAGAAAGGGAGCTGGCAGTGATGGCTGTGCTTCTGTAAGAAGTTTAAAGGTCACACCTACACTTTGAAATTGACACCTGAAACTAAAAAACTGAAATAAAGATACTAAGAAATGCACAAACACACACAAAAATACAAAAGCCCAACGACATGCATAACTATTCACATGTGTTGTTTACATGATTAGTGTTTTAATGGATCAGGAAAAAAAAGAAGAAGAAAAAAAGAGAGAGGCTTAATCAGTTTATTTCAGCAATATCCAGCCTGTGTTGGGGTGGACTGAAGTAGTTTTCTACAACTGTGGTAATCTTTTGGCAGCGCCATTAATATAAAATATATCAGCCTTTGAAATCAGGTCTGTCAAATTCTATTTTTTATTTATTTAAACTTTATCATCACCGTTAACCTGTCAAACTTTTCCAATGCATGAGATTTAAGAGGTTATCTGGTTTTCAATTGTTAACTGAATAATAACTCCTGTAAATTAATTGATTTCTAATCATTGAAATTCATTTTCTTCCTAAATCACACATTTAATTAAGCTTAATTGGCCATCTTACTATAATATCTCTTTTCCTGCTGCATATTAGGTGACTTTTGACAATTGCCTAATTCACAGTTTAGATTAATTGTTTGGGTATAACAACGAATAAAAATGTAAAATTTGTGATGGAAATTCTCGGTGTCATATCAAACATGTAAATGCAGACCAAAAAATTGTAATCAAATCGAAATATTATCAATAAACTGAGTTAAATAACCGATTAGATTGAACTTACCTCAGTCAAAGCAGCTAACGTTAGCTTGTCGCACTAAAAGCGGCAAAACGCTAAAATCGCGTCGTGTTTTTCCTTGAGAGAGAAAAAACCTAAAAACATTTACACAAAGGTCATTGTTTCATATTACTTTGACAAACAGAGCTGAATGTAAAAATATAGAACCGATTTAGACCTGGAAAATACTAAACAGCTTTCGTAAATCAAACGCGTATGTTTACAGACAGGGAAGCAGCCATATTTTCGCTTTTCTTCTGCCTCTGCAGGATGCACAAAATATGCGCTACCTCCCCCCAGAGGACAAAAGAAGAATTACTGAAAAATATATTTAAAAAAAAAAAAATCATATTTCAAATGAATTTAAGTGCTGAAACTCTCTTAGGGCGGATGTGTCTGGCATTTCTAATGAACATTAATTAGTTAGTTGATGTATATGCCACATCCTTGGTGAAATGGAGAACTGTAACTGTGTATCCCTCGACTTTGTCCAGGCTAGATTACAGTCAGTCTAGATTTTTTTTTCTCTCTCTCTCTCTCTCTGTTTGAGGATTTGCACTTGACTTATATTACTTAGGAAACCATTTTATTTGTTTAACACCCCCTTCAACCCTAATCTTAAACAGCTTTTCATCAACAATAATACTCAATAAAACATTCTTCCCCCCTTCCCCTGAACTGCATTTAAATGCATTGAAAGACAAAAAGGGAGATTAACATTTTTATATTGTGGTTGCTTATCTGGCCTAAAACACCAGAACCTATTTGCCTCTATCTTTACCTTCTAGTAATAATCAAAATAGTAATTTGGTCCCATAATGTAATGTTGCATAAGTGAAATTCAGAAGCAGTTTTGCACATTTGCGTCATTCCAATGTAAAGAAAAGAGACGTCTCAGTGGATACACTCCTCATCAGTCAGCCGGTGGTAGATCAGGCGCTGATGAAATTGACGGTGTTTTTTTTTTTCGATTAGATAACGCAGCGTTTTTCCCGGTTCCATAAAATTTCCCGCATATTGTCTCGTTGTTAATGTACTAGGTTAATGCTTTTGATACTTTTTTTCATACAGCCCTCCTCCATTTTGCCCCAAAACATCTAGAAAATATTTTGTGTAAAGTCTGATGCCCGTTTAAAACACATAAACGCCGGCGGACCAATTACCTGGCCGGGTGACAAATGAGGCGAACTCATAAAAAAAGATCAGACGTCGTGATCTGAGAGGGCCGAATCCGATTGGCTACGACACAGGAAGTTAGTTTGCTATTGGCCAGTGGTGATGTCTCAGCCTCTACGCTGAAATAGCAGGAACGTCATTGGTCCATTTCACATGTCTGCTGATCTACTAAGGTGAAGTTGTTTGATAATCTCCTGACTAAAAGACCACGTACTCGTTCCGATTTCCAGACTCGCATCTTATTTTATATTTTTGAGGGTTCTTTCTCTTCCGTCCATCAGCCAGGGCTCTTTTTAGAACTCTACTGCAAAGGAAGAAAGGCTCATCTAGTTGACTAGCCTATTTACGTGCAAACAGAAGCTAACAAGGGCTAACTCTTAGCTTTTACTCTACTCAAACGTTATAATGGGAGAGGAAATAAACGACAATACAGGCACCGGATCTACAAACACCAACAGTAACGAGACAAACGGAGAAGCTGCTGATGGGGGGGTGAAGTATTATACGTTAGAGGACATCCGACTCCATAATATGAGCAACGATTCTTGGCTAATCATCCATAACAAGATATACGACATCACAAGTTTTCTAGAGGAGGTAAGAAGCATTATTTTTTTTATAAACTTAGCCTTTATATGTAGCCTTTATTTGGCGTTTACGTTTCTTTAAAACTTTTTGTTTTTGTATCATATTGCATGAAGGGTCATGCTGTTGTGTAATACTACTTCCTGGAACTCCAAACAGTTTGTATAGATGTTTAAAGTTCGTTAGCCTTTCAGACTCTTTACATATATAATGCAAATTACAATACATGTTTTGTCCATGCCTTACATCATTCTATGGAGGTAAAACTAACGAGTATTTGTAGATTTTCACCACTAGTTTGAAAGACACAGCAACATGGCTAAATGTTCATCTACCCTGGTCACAGAAAACTGCCCCTAACATTTAATGGCTCCTGTAGAAAATAAGCTGATTTGTTAAAGTATTAAAAAGGTCTGATAGTGTGTTATTAAGGATTTAGAAGCCATACATTCCTATATTTTGAGTTTCTCCTTCAAAACTTCTGCCTGGCTGTGTGTTTCCTGGACGGGGCCGCCTTTTACAGCTGCTTTTTGTATCTCTGCTTCTGTCTCCTTGAACTCCAGTCGGCCTCAGCAGATGGCCGGTCTCACTGAGCCTGGTTCTGCTGAAGGTTTCTTCCTGTTAAAAGGGAGTTTTTCCTCTCCACTGTCACTACAAGCATGCTTAGTGTGAGGGATTGCATTCGAGTCAATGATTCAATGCAATCAACTGGTTTTCCTTAGATAGAAAACTTTGATTTAATTTGACTGTATGATCTGGTGAACTGTAAAGTACCTTGAGATGACATGTGTTGTGAATTGGCACTATAGAAATAAACTGAATTGAATTGAATTCAAAACTTGTTTACCCAAAATGTTTTAAGTTTAATCACTTAGGATTTGTAATCTTATACATAAAGTTTATTTTTTAGTTGCTGTGGCTTTTTAACCAACAGTGCTCTTACAGGTTGTTTTACTTTAAGGTGGAGTTTTAGCAGAGCTGGTCTCTGAACTTACCTTCACAACCAGTGGTCCTCTATCCTGGTTCTCAGGGCCCTCAGTCCCCTTCTTTAAGTGCATCACATTTTTACAAAGTAATGTCAGTGTTACTTAAGATTCAATAATAAAAAAAAAACTTTAGTAATTGAGTTTTGTGTTTGACCAGGTATGTATTTGTTTTTAAAAATACATCCAAAAGATCTTTGTGGCATTGACAGAAAGGATTACGTTTTTCATTAACACAACTCATATACTCAGCTGCATTTTTTTTAAATAAATGTGCTACAATTTAATGGGAAATAGAAAGGCTTTCTAATGGTTTATGCGTATTTGCAAACAAGCATTGTTACTACAAATTTATAATCTGCCCTTACCTTTTGTGCTCGGTTTTGCATAGAAACACATTTTTCCCATCGCTTCATGGAGTCCTATATGAAGCATATGTGACACATCTCTCGCTTGGTTCTGTTTTATTTTATTTTTTTGTATGTTTTTCAATCAGCATCCAGGAGGCGAGGAGGTTTTGCTGGAGCAGGCAGGAGCAGATGCCACAGAGAGCTTTGAAGATGTAGGTCATTCCACAGATGCCAGGGAGATGCTTGAGCAATACTATATTGGAGAGCTTCACATGGTAAGAAGACACTCGATATATTTACTAATCTAACTTTGATTTAAAAAAAATAATAATAATAATAATACAACTACATTTAATCTATGACGACCCAATTCATATGTTTGTGGTTATTGTAGATTTGAACTGATCAAAGTTTGCCGATGATTCAAAATAAGGAGCCATCAACAAAGTGTTGTTACACTATTTGTGGAATAAAACTGGTATTAAATCACAATCAGGTGAATGCCATTAGAAACAGTTAGCACTGCTCTTGCCCCTCCAGCTGTCATGGTTTAAAATGGCTTTTGCAACTTCAGCATCACTAATCTTGTCAAGTGATGAGGAGGCTTGTTTATATTAGTGATGCCACTACCAGGATTGTTTGAGTCTATCACTAATTACCCATCACCAAAATTAGTATCTGTTGATCACTGCATCAAATCCCTAAATACTTCAATACTGTTTTCTCATGTACATTGACATTGTATTATTAAGTTTAAAAATCAGGCGTAAGAAAGTATCATGATTTGACCACTGTTTTAGTGAAGCCACTTTAATGAAAGTGGAAGCTAGAGATAATAATGTAGAGAGGATAAAACCTGGAATGCTCTTAAGGGGTTTATACGTTGCTTTTTTGTTTTGCCCTAGAAGGACTGTTTCTTCTTCCTACCTCCAGAACAGATACCGACCAGCTATCGCCTATTCTCCTCCTCCTCGACCCTGCTCTGTCTGTCCTGCAGGCTTCACAGATCCTACCCTATTCTCCTTTCATCTCCAGCAGTTAGCCTCTAGAGGCTAGCCTCGTCCTGCTGCATTCTCTTCCTTCTCTGTCTCTCAGACGTACAACCTCCCGACCCCTCTGTAGCCCAGAAGAATTATTAGTTCTTCCGACATTCTGCATCAATCCTTGATAATTTTATAAAGAATATTTCCTTAGTCTGTGTAGGCTATAGATTTTATGTAGGCCTAACTTGCCGCAGTTGCATTATAGTGTAATGGCGATCTCTACAGTCACTAGTTTTTCAGCTCCGTGCTGCCATAGAAGAAAGCTGTCTGTATCCATACAAACACAACCTGCTCCTATGTAATTTTAAATAGAAATTTCCATGGAAACATAAACATAAAGCTTGAGACTTGCAGATCATAGATGATAATAAATAACATAGTTATGTACTTTATAGTACACTGTTAAAAAATTAAAGGGCACAGGTGAACGCCACAATATAACTTTAATCAAATCAAAGTTCTGTGAAAGGTGAGAAGCTCGGTCATCCGGGAGGGACTCGGAGTAGAGCCGCTGCTCCTCCACGTCGAGAGGAGCCAGTTGAGGTGGCTCGGGCATCCGGTTAGGATGCCTCCTGGACGCCTCCCTGGTGAGGTGTTCCGGG